GATTCTTGACCATCGAACTATTCGAACTTCTAGGAAATATTATCAAAAGTACTTGGTCAAATGAAGCGAATGCAGCAGTGAGGAGAATACTTGGACAAGAGAAAAAGACTCTGGAGCTTTCAAACCATTAATTTAAGCATACTATTCATCGATGGCTCCGAGTACGTCGCCAAAACAAATGGGGGAGAATGTCAAAGATCGTAACTTTACTTAAACCCTTTGACCTAATCACAGCAGCAATTTGCCCAACTTCGATCGCACATTGTGAACATTAGTTCAAGTTTGAGTTGTAATTTTCTTTCCATTGTAATAGTTTATTTTAATTGTAAAATAGTTCTGATATTGGTAAATGTTTAGTATGATTTCTCTTCATTTAAACGTCTACTCCTATCACTTAAATTTTTGTTTCGCGAGATATTATAGGGGGTATTAGTCTTTCAAAAATCTTTCAAACTTTCTGGTATTCGTCCCCTGCACCGCCATTGTAATTTCCTGCTTTCATCAATTGTAATTTCTAACTTTCAAGTAATCAATTATCAATTTACTTTCAATGCATCTTAATTTTATGTTGCAAATTTTTTACAAATTGTAATTACATTTTTTTATCCGGAAACGACCGAGAAAAGACGAAAGGTAGTCTAGCGGAGCAAACTACTGTCACATGGTGTCCCTTTCTGTGTCAAGAAGAAAGACACCCCGTGAAACCAAGTCTTAGAATTATTGGACAATATTAAAGTCATTTCTTTCCAAAGCACTGTGTCAGAGAAAATTTCATTGTTTTCCCCAAACATTGGGGGCATACATTACCGGCCTCCTCCAGGAGGTGAAGACAAACCAAGTTGATATGATAATTCTGAGGAAGAGCACTCTCCATCTACCACACAAATTCAAAGACTCCTGTCGAAAATTGACGGACCATCATAATTCTCATCCAAATCCATGTCCATCGACTTCGTTGAATCGAAAGAATGAAAAGATTATCATCATACATGATAACGTTTGCCATTGAATTTCGATAGTGTAAATTTCATGAACATAACTTTGGCCATTGAATTTCGATGAAGAGATAGAAATAAATGACGAAATTCCAAACAAATATTGAAATACGATCACCTTTCATTAATTCCTAATAATACAAGAAATCTAGACGAACTCTTGATTTTTATATCCAATACGAAAATTGAAAAAGAGAGTAACTCTAAATAATAATAAAATTAAAATAAAATAATCCATATTCATGAATCTTCATCAGGAAGAAATGGAGATAATTTGATTTCAATTTCGTAAAAAATATGTGGTTAAAAGTAAGAAAAAGCCACTGAACATACTCTTTATTCACCACCATGCAAACACAGTAATACAAGATAAAAGGCCAAAAGACTATCAACTGACCATCCGATTAGTACATAATTCTCATCGCACAAAAGACTAACTAGCCATTGATTATGGTTCCACCATTAGGATGGAGGATCTGTCCACTGATATAAGAAGAGTCCACGTTTGAAGCAAGAAAGACATAAGATGGAGCAACCTCTATTGGCTGTCCTGCCCTCTGCATTGGCACTTCTTTCCCAAAGTTTGCATTTTCTTCTTCGCTGAAAGACGCCGGAATTAGAGGTGTCCAAATAGGACCAGGCGCCACTCCGTTTACGCGTATTCCTTTCTTCGCAAGTCGTAATGCAAGTCCTCTAGTGAACGCCACAATCGCCCCTTTTGTCGATGTGTAGTCGAGTAACTTATCATTTCCTTTGTATGCAGTCACTGATGTTGTGTTGATTATGCTACTCCCTTGCTTCATATGCTTCAAAGCATGCCTACAATTAAATATATACACATTGTGAACTATATATTAGGCACGGCTAGACTATGAACCCGTTTAGAATAATTTTTGAGGAGTCTAAATGAACTTTTAGATCTAACGTCTGATAAAATTTCATATCGAATAAAAATGAAACATGGATCAATTTATAAGAATTTGGACTACTCATCTTAAAAATGTTAAGATTTTAAGATGGAACCCTGATATCGAAGCTATAAGTTCTAATGAGCAATTCGACCTACAAAAGGAGGCAACAAGTGGATTGAATCCGAGAGACCCCACTAAAACTCAAAAAAAAATGAGCACACATTCAAAATTCAATATTTTATTAGTTAAAAGGTTAATAAAAATTGTGAATTTCATGAAATGTGTATAATTGAAAATAAATTTTAAAAATGAGGATTTTACTGTCAATAACTTACCTGACCATAAAGAAGTAAGAAAATATATTGGTTCTGAACACCCTCTCGAGCCTCGCTTCGTCGATCTCTTCAATTGAGCTTGCCTTGTATTGCTCAGCAGCATTGTTAACAAGAATATCAACTCTTCCATAGTTATTCACTACTACTTCAACAACTCCCTTGCAATTCTCATCATACCCTAAGTCTGCCGGTATCGCCATCGGGTCTTTTGCATCAGAATGTTTAGCTTCCTTCAACATTCCAAGGGTATCCGCTGCATCTTTGTCCTCATCACCCTTCACATATGTGAAAGCCACCGTTGCACCCTCTAACGCAAAGCAAAGGCACACGGCTCGCCCAATGCCCGAATCACCTCCGGTCACCACCGCCACTTTACCCTGCACAGTGCACACAATATTGATCCAAAAAGGACAATTTTTTAATGAAAAATGAGAAGTTATCTATGTACATACTAGAAGCTTGTTAGCAGGTTTATATTCCAGGCTAGCAGGCTGTGGAGTTGGGTCCATTAAATGCTCTTTTCCAGGCTGAGTTTCTTGTTTCTGTGGTGGGAATTTCTGATCATTGGACGCCATTGATCTCACGAAGAGTACTACTCTTCTCTTAGACTTCTCTTGGAATTATTTGTTACCGTAAAATTTGAAGAAAACTGGGTTTGGTGTGGAGGAAAATGGTATCTGGCAGTGGATGCTAACAGTCTGAAACAAGACAGAGATTGAGTTAACGTGTGAAATGAACATGCAAAGAGGGGATGGATATAGTGGTGTTTGAGGGAGACAGCGGTGAATGCAGGTAAGAACGTGGCAAGAGGCCGAGTCTACGTGTTACCTAAGGGCGCATGCGAATGGACACGTCTGTATAAACGGACGTCATGACTCAGAAATTGGATTTGAATGAACTAGAATGTGCTCAACCTTCTGGTCTTCACACACTTTTTGTTGGCTCATTTCTTTCGTACATATTTTTTTAAAATTCATTTTTCTTTATATTCGTGTCTTGTTCTTTCTTAAATAAATTACCTTTTCAATTCATCATGACCCAGGAATTGGATTTGAATGAACCATCGTGCGACTATAGGATGTTCTATACCTACTAATTTTCAAACACCTTTTGTTGGCTATTTTTCAGTCCTCGTTTCAAACACGCTCATGTCCTATTCTGTCTTAAATAACAAGTATAGAGGAGTAGGCATGGGGCATGAAGATGATTGGACGGTCCTAGTTTTAGCCACGAACACACCCGGAGGCAGCTTTGCGAATAAAGCTTGTTTGCTTAGTATCATTACTTCGCGTCACTTAATATCCCTGTTTTTGGCACCGTAGATTAAAGCAGAACCTTGATGTTCTTGTATATGTACTGCGTTTCCTATGCATTGTGCTGTAGTGTAGTTTATTGTAATGAACATCGAAACCAAATGTGCTCTTTTTGCGTGGTTTTGCTCTATCCACTTTGCAATGACATAGATACCAATTTCCTCCAGATTTAAAGTCTCCGCAGCGAGCACAAGACGAGGCAAGGCGCTCAATGAACAAGGGAAAGCAAGGAAACTCTATGGATAGGGGCATCTTTCCATCATTTCTCGTCGTGAAGATTGAAGGAGGGACCTCTGCAGTAATACCACGAGAGATGTGAGCAACTCCTGCCAAGGGTGAATGTATCAATATTTGGGAGAATTCGCTTTCTTAACAAGCACGTCAACTAACAGACTATAGAGTGGAATCAGAAGTCAGAGGCAAGCGAGAATCTTTAACTATCTATCATGGCTTTGCATTATCCACATCGCAATGACACAAATACCAATTTTTACTCTCAACTACACCGAGTAATAACCTAGTCACTAAACGAGTCGTCTCGACTAGGATTCCACCTATCACGTCGACGTGAATTTCTACTATGCTTAGAAGAACGTTCTTCCCTGTCCACGTAGCTTCTTTCTTCAGATGAAGTATCTAGACCAGAAAACTTTGTTTCACGCCGATAAGAACGTCTTCCTTTTTCGTGATGCTTGTAATGGTAGTCTTCCCTGTATACAGACTTCTCTCCACCAATCGAGCGGTCTGGACTAGCTGACTTTTCAAGCCGATGGGCGGATGCATTTCGTTTCTCATGCTTACGAGAGTCCTCATAGTCCACGCTACTTCCCTTTCTTCGTGGTGGTGACGGGATCTAATTACATAATTGAAGAAAAATGAAAAGCTCTTATCAGAAGAAACAAGCTCGATAAAAAAATCCAAGGTTTTTCAATGATTGAAACAAAATGAACTTGATCACCAACAAGAGAATATAAAGGCCAATAAACGGTTAAAAATTAAAGAGAAGAATTTTCACACATAATAGTGTTTCGTTTATTCACTTGAGTAGATGAACAAGTAGCACCATGATATCTGCAATATTCAACATGCTTGTATTTGAGAATTTGCTTACCTGAAAGCGTGACATGTATCTTCCTTCAGGGGGAGGTGGTATGCCAAGCCTCTTTAAATCATCCCATGGAATTTGTCTTCTGATCTCGTAACAAATAATTTATGAAAGTTCAGAATGCATCCTGGTCGAGTCTTAACATAGATTGCTTCTTGGTGTTAACACAGGTAGTTAGTATCTAATTCACCCGTCTTTCAAGTCTTGGGGGGCCTGTCATTTTGGTTCGCACAGACTGCTGCTTGTTGGTGGCTAGAACCCAAGATTTCTGGTGCGAAATAACAGTACCCCAAGGCATTTGAAAGACTGGTGAAAATGAAATAGCTGCTAAAAGTTTTCTTTTTACCTAAAAAAGTAGATGTACAAAAATATACATCATGACTACTAAACTAAGCCCCTGTTTGATCCACATTACTTTTTTTCATTCTCATTCTTCTACTCATTTTCAACCATAAATTTTTCAATAAAATAATATTTTACATCACATCAATAACTTTTCCTTCTTTTTCAACCACATATTTCTCATCACACCACTTCAAAAAAATGCATTCTCTCATTTTAATGTGCACCAAACGGGCACTACTTAATAATGCAATAGTTAATTACTGAACAAGTAAAGGTGAACATACAGTGGAGCTCGAAATGGTCTTTCTCGTCCTCCAAACCGAAGTTGTCCTGATTCTTTCTTACCACCAAGACCACCTCCTGTTCAAGCACGATGACTTTAAAGCTAATCAGAGTATAAAATGTAGCTGTATGAGCAGCAGAATTTTAACATACCTAGCCTTCTTGGAATCCAACCTGGCATCAGTTGCTGCCTATTGTAATCAACTATAATCTCAGAATCATCAA